CAGGGCTGGGTAGCCTTCAGTTCCATCAGCACACTGAAAACCAAAGCAAACTGCTAGTGCCTATCAAGTGAAGCATACCTGGAGTATACCTGGAGGGTGTTCTAGGGTCAATGCTCCTGTAGCCTGGTCCCATGACTGTTTAAAAACCAAGGAATTGCTGTTAGCCTGCAGGCCCATATATTGATCACAGCCTGGTTGGTCTGGTACCTGGACAAGGTAGGGAGTAATTTCTTAAAACCTTATACGTAAATCTTTATTTTAGAAATATTTGATATCTGCTGGTAGCACTTTGAAGAGCCTTGGTCATCAGATGTTAACAGTGATCTAATTCTGTTTGCAGTAACTCTGTTCTTCACTGGGTTCATCTTAGATTTCCTTCCATACCCATTACTCCAGTAAGTTTTGATGGCAGTGTGCAGGTCTGGAACCTTGCTCTAAGTATCTTCTATGCACATTACATATGAATAGGTCTTTTTTCTGCTGCTGAGAACATTTCAAAAGTTATTTCAAGTAGTGGGATTATTTACTGCCAGTAGGGAGTAAATAATCTCATTAAATTTTTTGTTTTCAGCACTGCAATCTCTCTCGTTTGTGAGCATAGAACAGTATTCAAGAAATGAGGTAATAAATGAACTGAATAATTCCATCACTGATATAACTTCTCTTGTTTAGAAAGTTCTCATTATCCACTGTCATTTCTCAGGCCTTTGCTGTATCTGCCTTATTTTACTCTCTGAATTAAGTCAACTGACATTATTTTTAAGTCTTATATGCTTACTTCATTCAGTGAGATGGTTCTCATGTGTTCTGTATCCTGTACTCATTTTGAGTTCTTCATTCTTTCTATAACTAAGTGGTTGGAATGTCACTGGAAGACTTTGTTGAGATCTGCTTGCAATTTTTGTCCTCCACTGAGATGACCAACATGCTTATTGAAGTATCACTCACAAATGAAAATACAAAATTGTGACCAGTGTCTATATCCATTCTACTATGAGACTGAGAAACAATACAGATGTTAGGACCATACTATGAAATAATGAGCTTTATTTTTCTAAGATGAGAATTTGTTTAGTTTACTACCACTTTTCATGATCTGTTGGTTAGAAATGTGGTCTGTATTATTTGCTACTATTTTGCTGAACCCTATGAAGAGGCAGCACCAGGGGAAGGGGAATTTAGGGGGCTACAGCCCCCAACTTCCTTCAGCTACCAAAAAGCCCCTCTTGTGATGAAAATCATCATTAATTCAACTTATTCTTAGGTATAAAACTCCACCTGTACTAGACATTCATGTAAGAACCTAAGAATGGAGGAACATAGCAGAGGCCTACTAACTTACTTTTAGGTAAAAGAGCACATGCACAACTAATCAGACATTTTATTGTGTCAATGCTTAGCTCTCCAGGAGAGCTAAACTTTGCTACAAGAGAATATCTCATTAGTTCAACATGTGCCATTTTACCTAACATGTTGTCAGTCATTCTAGCAACATTATTACTGCTGGCTTTTTCTCTCAATACCCAATACTGCAATCCACTAACCTGTCTACCTTTGTTGGTTGGTATTGTATACCTTTATATGTTTTTTTTTTATTTTTTTTTATTATTAACACACTGGCCGATTCCCACCAAAGCAGGGTGGCCCGAAAAAGACAAACTTTCACCATCATTCACTCCATCACTGTCTTGCCAGTGATGGAGTGCTTTACACTACAGTTTAAACTGCAACATTAACACCCCTCCTTCAGAGTGCAGGCACTGTACTTCCCATCTCCAGGACTCAAGTCCGGCCTGCCGGTTTCCCTGAATCCCTTCATAAATGTTACTTTGCTCACACTCCAACAGCACGTCAAGTATTAAAAACCATTTGTCTCCATTCACTATCAAACACACTCACACATGCCTGCTGGAAGTCCAAGCCCCTCACACACAAAACCTCCTTTACCCCCTCCCTCCCTCCAACCTTTCCTAGGCCGACCCTTACCCCACCTTCCTTCCACTACAGACTGATACACTCTTGAAGTCATTCTGTTTCGCTCCATTCTCTCTACATGTCCGAACCACCTCAACAACCCTTCTTCAGCCCTCTGGACAACAGTTTTGGCAATCCCGCACCTCCTCCTAACTTCCAAACTACGAATTCTCTGCATTATATTCACACCACACATTGCCCTCAGACATGACATCTCCACTGCCTCCAGCCTTCTCCTCGCTGCAACATTCATCACCCACACTTCACACCCATATAAGAGCGTTGGTAAAACTACACTCTAATACATTCCCCTCTTTGCCTCCAAGGACAAAGTTCTTTGTCTCCACAGACTCCTAAGTGCACCACTCACCCTTTTTCCCTCATCAATTCTATGATTCACCTCATCTTTCATAGACCCATCTGCTGACACATCCACTCCCAAATATCTGAATACATTCACCTCCTCCATACTCTCTCCCTCCAATCTGATATCCAATCTTTCGTCACCTATTCTTTTTGTTATCCTCAAAACCTTACTCTTTCCTGTATTCACTTTTAATTTTCTTCTTTTGCACACCCTACCAAATTCATCCACCAATCTCTGCAACTTCTCTTCAGAATCTCCCAAGAGCACAGTGTCATCAGCAACGAGCAACTGTGACAACTCCCACTTTATGTGTGATTCTTTATCTTTTAACTCCACGCCTCTTGCCAAGACCCTCGCATTTACTTCTCTTACAACCCCATCTATAAATATATTAAACAACCACGGTGACATCACACATCCTTGTCTAAGGCCTACTTTTACTGGGAAATAATCTCCCTCTTTCCTACATACTCTAACTTGAGCCTCACTATCCTCATACAAACTCTTCACTGCTTTCAGTAACCTACCTCCTACACCATACACCTGCAACATCTGCCAAATTGCCCCCCTATCCACCTTGTCATATGCCTTTTCCAAATCCATAAATGCCACAAAAACCTCTTTAGCCTTATCTAAATACTGTTCACGTATATGTTTCACTGTAAACACCTGGTCCACACACCCCCTACCTTTCCTAAAGCCTCCTTGTTCATCTGCTATCCTATTCTCCATCTTACTCTTAATTCTTTCAATAATAACTGTACCATACACTTTACCAGGTATACTCAACAGACTCATCCCCCTATAATTTTTGCACTCTCTTTTGTTCCCTTTGCCTTTATACAAAGGAACTATGCATGCTCTCTGCCAATCCCTAGGTACCTTACCCTCTTCCATACGTGCATTAAACAATTGCACCAACCACTCCAAAACTATATCCCCACCTGCTTTTGATATTTCTATCTTTATCCCATCAATCCCGGCTGCCTTACCCCCTTTCATTTTACCTACTGCCTCATGAACTTCCCCCACACTCACAACTGGCTCTTCCTCACTCCTACAAGATGTTATTCCTCCTTGCCCTATACACAAAATCACAGCTTCCCTATCTTCATTAACATTTAACAATTCCTCAAAATATTCCCTCCATCTTCCCAATACCTCTAACTCTCCATTTAATAACTCTCCTCTCCTATTTTTAACTGATAAATCCATTTGTTCTCTAGGCTTCCTTAACTTGTTAATCTCACTCCAAGCTTTTTCTTATTTTCAACAAAATTTGTTGATAACATCTCACCCACTCTCTCATTTGCTCTCTTTTTACATTGCTTCACCACTCTCTTAACCTCTCTCTTTTTCTCCATATACTCTTCCCTCCTTGCATCACTTCTACTTTGTAAAAACTTCTCATATGCTAACTTTTTCTCCCTTACATCATCATTCCACCAATTGCTCCTCTTCCCTCCCGCACCCACTTTCCTGTAACCACAAACTTCTGCTGAGCACACTAACACTACATTTTTAAACCTACCCTATACCTCTTCGACTCCATTGCCTATGCTCTCATTAACCCATCTATCCTCCAATAGCTGTTTATATCTTACCCTAACTGCCTCCTCTTTTAGTTTATAAACCTTCACCTCTCTCTTCCCTGATGCTTCTATTCTCCTTGTACCCCATCTACCTTTTACTCTCAGTGTAGCTACAACTAGTAAGTGATCTGATATATCTGTGGCCCCTCTATACACATATACATCCTGAAGTCTACTCAACAGTCTTTTATCTACCAATACATAATCCAACAAACTACTGTCATTTTGCCCTACATCATATCTTGTATACTTATTTATCCTCTTTTTCTTAAAATATGTTTTACCTATAACTAAACCCCTTTCTATACAAAGTTCAATCAAAGGGCTCCCATTATCATTTACACCTGGCACCCCAAACTTACCTACCACGCCCTCTCTAAAAGTTTCTCCTACTTTAGCATTCAGGTCCCCTACCACAGTTACTCTTATATATATATTTTGTAGGGTGGGCTGAGTAATAAAACTATCCAGGTCTTCAACTCGAGTTATCAATAAGATTGCTGAACACTGATATATACAGTACTATTCTTTCAGATTTCATTGACAACTTTGTAGTCATCTGTGTAAGACATGAGGCTGGCCAATAATGAAAGAGGTTTTTGACTTGGATTATGCAAGTGATATGTATTTTTTATTGTTTCCAAGTTTCCTAAATGACTTTTTGTTCCATTTGTGTTTCTTGTGACTGGCATGAAAGCTTTGGTTTCAATTCTATATTGGTAATTTCTCTATGTAGATTCTCTTTGTTGTGAAATCTGCCGTTTTTTTTTGAGCAGTTCAGCAACCCACTTCCTTCTATAAAGTCTTCTACATTCTACCTATATCTCTAATATCTTTTCAGGCTTTTTCACACTAGAGGTCTAGAGACAAGTATCAGTATGAATGATGTGTGGCACATTTCAGGTGTGTTCTCAAGGAAACTCACAGCTGAAAAGCTTTGCAACATTTTTAACAGTATCATCTACACATATATTTCAAAGCTGTGGATAAATTTTACAGAAACTAAAGGGCTTTCAATAAAAAAAAAACTTACTACTAAGAGTTCAACACTGAGTTACTAAACTTACTTGATTGTGAACTGCAGGAGTACTGAAGACATGGATAATTCCAGAGCAATCAGTATTTCACTGAGAGCTTGATGATACTCCCGATCACGTGCACTACCAGCAGCAAACTCGGTCGATTTTAGAGGAAAGTTGTTTAAACTCATTGTCTCAAGAGCTTCACTGCAATTGTAATAAAACAGAAAAAACTACATTTTCCTACCTTTACCTTTATATAAAATAATAGCAAATTAAAACAGGGAAAAATTATCACTGAATTTTAAAACATATATTTCACAGACTTTTAACCCTTAAACTGTCCAAACGTAGATCTATGTTAGTACCACCAGGGCTCCAAAACGTAGATATACATTTTATTTCTCCTACCTTCAAATTTGGTGCAATAGGCCTGAGTGGCATAGATATGAGAGAATGGGCCTGTGCACTCAGTGTGTGCAGTATGAAAAAAATTGAGAATGCCGCGGTACTCATGGTAGCACCAGTTAGTTTCATCTCCATCTTGGGTCAACATCATAGCAAACCCCTGTGATTCACTCACGCCTCGTCGTATTAACACTCTCCTATTCGAGGAAAGTGATACAGAATGTGAGTTTAGTGAATTTGACACTGATGTGGCCACTAATGATCATGGAATTAGTGAAAATATTGATGATAACCCAAATGACCTTCAGCCTATCACCTCTGGGGTGGCCAGTGTGGCCATACCAGACCCTCAGCCCAGCACCTCTGGGGTGGCTAGTGTTACTGCCCAAAGGCAACTACGCAAGAGGAAATTATAATTTTCCTGCGGTTTAGGTATTAATGATAGTGGAAGTGATATAAGAGACGATGAGATTGATTTAAATCCCATAGAGGATTCATCAAGTGATAGTGATATTCATTATTCCCCACTGAAACATACTTTTAGGCATTGTCACCTAAGTTCAGGCAGTGTGCCATATGTAGTCCACAAGGGTCGTGGGAGGTCATGATTGAAAACCCCAGCCACTGATAGTGATCATGAAGATGAATATGCGGGGATGGAGGAAGAGGTGGTGGTGGTGGCAGGTGGCATGGTGCCTGGGCCGCACAGCGCAGTGGGTGGGCAGACAAAGGACAACCCGGCACCCCCTCAACCATGTACTGCCTCAACTCCCATCCCTCCTCCTGCTTCCCCATGCCAGATGCCACAGGTCCACCCTACGCCATGTGATCATGAATGGAACTGGACAGAAAGTACACCATTTGTGCCACATCCTTGCAATTTTGAAGCCAGTGGAAGTAGCATTGTGGTAGAATGTCATATCACAAATGAGTCTACAGAGTTAGACTATTTCCATCTATACTATGATGAGCCTATAATGAACTTGATTGTCACCCAAACCAATAGTTACTACCACTATACAATGGACAACACAGAGGTTGCAGAATCGTCGTAGCTGCACAGGTGGAAAGATACAACTGTGGCTGAAATGTATTTATTCCTTGGCACTGTCATGCTTGTGCCACATACATATAAGCACAATACAGCACAGTACTTGTCCACAGACCACTTCATCAGTACTCCAGTCTTACTGACCTCCTTCCCTGCAACAGATTCAGTCTGTTGCTATGAATGTCGCACTTCTCAAGACTGAATATGCCCAACAGAAATTACCTCCTATACAAAATCGGTAAAGTGTTTATCCATCTGAAGCAAAATTTCAGTGCCTACTTTTATCCATTCAAGAACACTGTTGACGAGTCTTTGATTCTGTTCGTGGGACGATTGTCATTCAAACAATATATACTAAGCAAACGTAAAAGTTTTGGAATAAAACTCTTCGTTACGTGTCACTGTGAGACTGGTATTGTGATGAATGTCATTATCTACATAGGGAAAAATACACTCGACGATACCAGGCGGATGTTGGGCATTTCTGGTGATGTTGTCTGCAAGATGATGGAGCCATACCCTGGCAATGGTCATACACTGTGTACACTGCACACAGTACAGTGTACACAGACAACTGGTATACAAGCCCTATGCTCACTTATTTCCTGAATCTGAACAATACTGATATATGTGTGGCACAGTGAGAAGAAATAGAATACACATGCCAAGGTTCACTGGATGCAGTGCTGAAGATGCAATGCAAGCAACACATGTCAATGACATCATGGCACTGATGTGGCACGACAAACGGGACATGACGTTCCTGTCAACCATCCACAGAAACAAGATGGTACAAATTGAACAGGGACACAAATGAACATATTGTAAAGCCAGCTGCTGTCGTCAACTGTACAAACAATATGCGACTAGTCGGCAAGTGTGACATGCAAATAGGGTTCATTGATTGTGTGCATAGGAGTCGCAAGTGGTACATGAAAGTGTTTTTCCACACGTCTTCAACATGTACGAAATAGAGACTGAGAAGTGACAACACTATGCAGAATTCACCCTCTGTGTCATAAAGCAGTCAATAAAAAGTATGGTACCACACCTGTACCTGCCCCTCAACAGCGACCTGTCCCCTCACCACAACCACAAGGGAAAATGCCTGACCGAATAATCCCTAACTGTCACTGCCTGATACAGATACCATCTACCCCAAAGAAGAAGTATTTTCACAAAAAGTGTGTTGTGTGTGCTAACACTAAAAGGCGACCCCAAGTGCGAAAAGACATGTGATTCATATGTCATCAATGTGGTGTGACACAATGAGGCATCACACAATGGTGGAGTTCTAGAAACATAAATGGGACCAGTAAATACCTTGTATATATTTGTAGACAAAACAGGTCTCCCTCAACATTTGTGAGGGTTAGGGGGTCAAAAACCTCGTGAATGTTGAAAAATCGCGAATGTTTGGTGCCCCAATATACATAGACCGTCATTTAGCACGAGTTTATTTGGCAAGATTTGGGAATTGCATGATTGAAGAATTGCTGCACAATTTTATGTAACATGTATAATTAATTTAACATGGTTCAGTTTGTGGGAAGGAAAAAAAAATTCTCTTTTGCTCAAGCGGCCAGCTTGTTGTGGAGCAGCCGGGGAGCCCTCCTGCCATCCCCTGCCACTTCTGCCATGCCCTACCAATCCCCAACACCACCCCACCATCCCAACATTCGTAATTCATACATGTCCAGTCCAGTCTTTCTCTGCTACAAGGCAGCTGTGTTTGTGAATTATGTTATGATATAGTGGAACCTCAAATTCCGAACTTAATTCGTTCCAGGAGCTAGTTCTAAATTCGAAAAGTCTGAAATTCGAAGCAATATTTCCCATAAGAAATAATGGAAATACACTTAATCCGTTCCAGAAACCCAAAAATATTCACAAAAAAAAAAAAAAACATTTTATAGAGATTAATTCCAGTTTTACATACACACAACAAATGCTATAGTCTTTAATTATGTATAGTAACATAAAATAAAATTTTTACTTACCTTTATTGAAGATTGGTGATGGCATCTGGAAGATAGGGAGGGGGAGAGAGGGAGTTGGGGTTATTGTTTGGAAGGAGAATCCCCCTCCATATTACAGAATGGACATCAATTCGTTAGAAAACATTCAGCGTAGGATGACTAAATTAATACATAGCATTAGAAATCTTCCTTATGAAGAAAGATTGAAGACTCTTAATTTACATTCACTTGTTAGACGAAGAATGAGGGGAGACCTGATCGAAGTGTATAAGTGGAAAATAGGTATTAATAAAGGGGATATTAATAAGGTCTTGAGGATCTCTCTCCAAGAGAGAACCCGCAGTAATGGATTTAAATTAGATAAGTTTAGATTTAGAGAGGACATAGGAAAGTATTGGTTTGGAAATAGGGTAGTTGATGAGTGGAACAGTCTACCTAGTTGGGTTATTGAGGCTAGGACCTTGGGTAGTTTCAAATTTAGGTTGGATAAGTACATGAGTGAGAGGGGTTGGATTTGAGTGGGACTTGCATATCAGAGCTTATTTCTTGGGTAGCATTGAAAATTGAGTTGGGCAAATGTTTTGTTAGTGGGATGAATTGTAAAGGACCTGCCTAGTATGGGCCAACAGGCCTCCTGCAGTGCTCCTCCTTCCTTATGTTCTTATCAAAGCTCTCTCTGGGGTTGCTTCCCTTCTCTATTTTAATGCCACTAGGACCAGCTTGAGAGTTATTGGACCCCAGTCTCACAAAATAACTATCCACAGTCGTCTGTTTCCGTCTCACAAAATAACTATCCACAGTCATCTGTTTCCGTCTCACAAAATAACTATCCACAGTCGTCTGTTTATGTCTCACAAAATAACTGTCCACAGTCATCTGTTTCCGTCTCACAAAATAACTATCCACAGTCGTCTGTTTCCGTCTCACAAAATAACTGTCCACAATCGTCTGTCTCACAAAATAACTACACAGTTGTCTGTTTCTGTCTCACAAAATAACTCCACAGTCATCTGTTTCTGTCTCACAAAAAAACTGTCCACAATCGTCTGTCTCACAAAATAACTGTCCACAATCATCTGTTTGTCTCACAATATAACTCCACAGTTGTCTGTTTCTGTCTCACAAAATAACTCCACAGTCGTCTGTTTCTGTCTCACAAAATAACTCCACAGTCGTCTGTTTCTGTCTCACAAAAAAACTGTCCACAATCGTCTGTCTCACAAAATAACTGTCCACAATCATCTGTTTGTCTCACAATATAACTCCACAGTTGTCTGTTTGTCTCACAAAATAACTCCACAGTCGTCTGTTTCTGTCTCACAAAATAACTGTCCACAGTTGTCTGTTTCTGTCTCACAAAATAACTGTCCACAATCATCTGTTTGTCTCACAAAATAACTCCACAGTTGTCTGTTTCTGTCTCTCAAAATAACTGTCCACAGTCCACTGTACATCCTGGCAAGCTCAACAAGTCTCACTCCAATCTCATACTTATGTATTATTTCCTTCTGCACATCTATGGTGTTTCTCACTTTCTTTACCACAGGGGTATTGCTAGCAAGTTTCTTTGGGCCCATGGCAGCTTATTTCACAGCCCCACAAGCACTAAACACAATTTAATAATCGTAAAATGTGTGAACGAGATGGCTAGACTGCTCACGGCGCCTGCGATGCAGAGCGGGCCAGCGAACAGGTTCTGTACCCGGCGGTCCAAAAATTGGGGCGCGTTTGATAATAGGGACACAGTTCGTCCGAAAAAGTGGTCTTAT